TGGGTCTTTTTCAGGGCTCCTTTTGTGTGAATCCTACTATTTTGGGGTTATCGGACCAGGGTGTCTTGACCAGGTTCCTACAATATAGGGTTTGCGTTCGAGTTTGAAGTTTGGACGCAGGGTTCAGGGGCACTGGGGTGAAGTTCAATGGGTGCTTAGCAGGTGTTGTTGTGTCAACCTGTGCAGTATTTCTATACCCCCGCTTCAAGCCACGCCCTGAAATCCAACGCGCCAATTCGGGGAAACCCAAGCTCCAAATAACCAGCGCCGCTGACAGGTTGCGTTTATGTCGGACGCTCGTGTGTGTGTGTGTGTGTATATATGCTATATATATACACATATGATAGTAGGTATGTATGTATGTATGTATGCATGTAGGTATGTATGTGTGTGTATGTATGTGTGCATGTATTCACATCTGCATGTATGTATGTATGTATGTGTTTGTGCGTTTACATCTGTATGTGTATATGTACACATCTACTTGCCTTTGATATACTAGTTCTCTATGCATGTTATGACTTGTGTAAGTATTAAACTTGCTTATATTTAATACATAAACATGTCCATGGCTTGCTTGTTAGTTATCTGTTTATGTGTTTGTCTCAGTCCACTTACGTCAAATCCATCGGATAGAGAAATTCACGGTATCAGTCGTATGCCGGTTCAAGCGGCCTTTATTTTGACCACATATGGAGGAATAGAAAATGCGAACCCGTTTGAGGTGAGGCTTTGGTGGTGTGGTTGGTTATTAATTAGAGGGCTTTGATCATGATAAAGATCTTGCTAGTAGGGTTTGTATTGGGCCACCTGACTTTCTGTCAAAGGTGAGGGGCGTGAGGATTGTCCGTTTAAATTCTACATGCTGTGGAGGTGTTGGCTTGGGGAACATAAGTTTAAACCTTCCGAAGCTCACTGAACCTCTATTGAATACCGGGACGGCGCTGTTACTCAAAGATGCTCGCAACACATAATGGCAAGACTGGCGGATTGCAAGCAACAGAGGGTTGGACACCTGCGGATCGTTGTAGCTCAAGCTGGTACACCCACCCCTGTAAGAGCCAAACCGGTGAGCAAAAACTCTAAACGAGCTGTAAACCCGCATAATTAAAACCCGGTTGGGAGCTCAACCCAGACGAATCTGCACACTAAAGCCGGGAACCAGAAGTCAGATTCCGTACATGCACGAGCGCAGGGATGTCTAACACCCTCAGCCTTAAATCTCTCAGCCTTGGCCCTTAATTAACATTAACCCCAAAATTAGGATCTTGGAATTTTATAAAATAACAGGAAAAAGAAGGAAACGCAAGAAGGCACATTATTCCAGGATCTGCGCAAAACCCTCAACAGCCGCCTCCTTCCATCGACGAGGTTGCAGTGTCAGACGTCCGGACTACCTGCTTGTTGATTCAGCAAGCAAGGAAGCCTCATCATTGCAAATCTTCAAGGATGAAAGCATTACCACAAGGGTATCAACGCGAGGTACCCCGTGATATCAAGCCCATTTACCGCCACATAGCGCCGCTGTGAAGAATGTGTCGCTTTCCGATTTATCTATATAAAGCGGCATTGCCGATGTCCGTGATATGGCTTGATACCAGAATCCACAACTCTGCATTGACGTTCTGAGGCTGTGCTATGTCCTATGTAGGTGTTTGCTGTGAAGCTGATACATCCCTATTTAGCTGGGTCGCTGCTCCTCCGCTGCCACTGCTTCTTAACCCGCTCTCTTACTCCCACTACGATGGACAGCAGCATCCAATGCATCTGTTGATGTTCGTTGCGTCGGATTGACATGTCTACCGAGTCTACCGTCGCTGGCCACAAGCATCATCACATTTCATGCTCAGCCGAGATCCCACCCGCTGCACAAACAACGCCTCATTCCTGGGATTCCTCGTGGTGATGAACTAAGCCCGGGGACATCGACGACAAGGACCATAGCCATACGTCACTTACTTGAATTTTGTCTACACAGGGATGAGAAAAGGGTTCAGGGAACCTCGGCCTGAACCCCGAGCCCATCATCTCCACAGGCACGATCTTCCACATTCATACGGCCGGCTACCCGAAAGAATACATATGGCTTCCACTAGAGCCTAAGCCTCAAACGAGAATTGAAAATAGTTTACGGCTTGTTCCGGTGTACTCGGCTACCTAGAGGTAAGCAAATGGCGTCCCGGTGATCATAATCGTGTGGGGCTCAAAGTTCAGGATATAGATTACAGGCTATGTTCTGCCCTAAACCCGAAGCCTGCACCCCAAACGCCTCGTCAGGCAAGTGACTTGCAGTGTCTTCGAGAGGAGCTCGGATGTCAATGCCAAGGCATCCAAAGCTCCGAAATACCTTGAGGATCGCGAGAGCTTCAAGCCCAATACGAGGACCTGTTTCATACTTTAGAATAAGGCTTCGGGTGTATACGATGACAATCAGGTCTCGTGGTATGTTTGAATTGTTAGAACTGTACAGTTCAATTCAGGAACTCCTAGAGGATCTTTCAGGAAGAGCACAGGCAACAATTCTAACCCCTGTAGTAGACCTTGAGTCTGTGAGGGCTCACTTATGGTTTCAGGTTCCAGCAGGGTTACTACGAGCCTTCTTGTGAGGGTGCCACCCGGGGCTCTTAATGCCGATTAGGGCGCCGGATACTCCCCTACTTCCCTTGGTTTTAGATTCCTTGTGCCCTCTAGCCGCCCCAACCAGAAACCTTTAACTCCTGATCTTCAAGCCATGGCATTCCCAACCCAAAGCCCCTGCACCCTAAGCCGAGCATCTTACAAACGCCCTGAATATCAATACAGATTTTAGGCTTGGGGTAGCTATGAACCTTTTGGACCCTGTGGTGGTAACTCAAACAAAGTTGCAGTAAAGCGGCGGAGACGATGCCAGTTCTGATGAGAAATTACTGGATGCTGTCCGTAGCAGTTTCGCCCTCACGCTTTGCGCGGACTCCTGGGCTAGAGGCTTACGGCTCGCAGGGTTTCAGATTTCGACTCGCACGATGCTTCGGGCTCAGGGTGGCGCAAGGTCGTGTGACATGCTCTTGAGCAGGCAGGGGGCTGCAGGGTTAAAGGATCACTGAACAAGGTATTGTCGGAACCTGATTAAGAAACCTTGGGCCTTTCTTAGGGTTCCTTGTCTTGTATGAATATGGCTAGTTTGGGGGTTATCGGCCCAGGGTTTCTTAATCAGGTTCCTACATCTTAACCAGCTGTCACGACTTCCTTACATGACACGGCAGCTATTAACCGACAAGCAAGCAATGTTTCTCTAGCTCAAGGTGCCGCAAGCACTGCTGGGGGCCACTCCTGGTGATTTAACACTAAACCCTAAACACCTAAACTAATTTAGCTTCAACTCCTGAGTCCCAAACTGTTGTTGGGGCTCTATCTTGGCGGCTTTTTGAAGAGCCTAAATAGCGTTGGCTTGTCACAGTCAACGCCGAAAGCTCCGCCGCAGGTTGGCAAATACAAGAAGCGACTGCACAATTGGAACAGGGTTGGGGAAATCCCAACCTCCAAACCCAAACCCCGTCGTCATGCTCGTTCGTATAGTATGGCATGTTCTCTTCGAAGGCTCCGAAGCAGATGAGAAGATAAGACCTCGGCCTGTACGTCAGCAAGTAAGTAGTTCAATACATTTAAACAGGTCATAAGCCGAAATGCATTGGGGTCAGTACCCTAGCTGGGGCTATGGTACTAAAGACCTTTGATCTTCAGCTGAGACAAGAGGCTGACTTCGGCACTGCCAAAGCTGGATTCCCCAGATGCTGGCAGGCATGGCTTGCGAGGTCACATTGCCGTCAAGCGAAACTCTGCCCCCACCACGAAAGAAAACACGTGAGACAAATCATCAAGAATGCCACCCCCCTACCTAGGACCTAGCTGCCCATGTCCTCGCGGTAGCCCCTAGTTTCGCTGCTTCCGGGCACTTGTAATTCGGTTTCTCTGCATAATACAGGGGCCGTATAGTTAGAATATGGCTTTGGGGCCGAATGTATTACAATTATACTTATTCTAAGGAACCGCCAAAATATATAGTATTATAGGTATTTAGAAAGGCCCCTACAGTAGCCCTTGCATCTGCCGACCCGAACCGTGCAGGTAAGACTTGTGCACTGAGGCAGGAATCAGCCCTAAGCACTAACCCCTGAACCCTTAGACCCCTAAACCCAACATAAGCCCATAACGGTCTGGGAACTTCTGCTGGATCGCTGCCTTCGAGCCGGAATGGTGCTGCCAAAGGTTCAAACTCGAAAAGGTCACTTGCTCTATCTACAAAGACGTTCGTGTCTAACAAAGTAAAGGATATAGAGACCAATAGTAGACATAGTTGGGCTTCCCCATGCAAGAAAAGTAAAGACGCTCGGCGGAAACCCTCGTCCAAGATGGTCCAGCCCGCACTGCATGGAGAACAGAAGGGATAACATGCTGTGCAATCGACGTCACCGTCGTCGTTGCCGTAGCAGTAGCAGTGGCACTTAGAAGCAACTATTCTGCAGAACTCAGAAGAAGCAGTCAAAGCACAAGTCATGGAACCAGAAGCTTTCACATGCAGTAATGTGTACGGCGAAATAATACAAGTCCGTGCAAACTTGCAGCTGCAGTATACGGATGACAATCATCCGAAGTCTGACCGCTCGAGCATCAACATTACGACGGAAGCCTTGGCACAAGGAAACCGTATGGGCACACCGGGCACACTTGGAAACAACCATTTTCTCATCCACTGTTCGGAGCAGCGCGCTCGTCTTGAAGGTGGCATGCAACTTCAGGATGGTGAAATGCTGACCCAACATAGAGTAGAATCGTCCAAGAGAACTAACCCCAAAAGCCTAATGCCCCAGCGCCGTAGTAATAGTCTCAATACAAGTATGCTACAGTGTATATAGTGCTCTTAAGGCCCAAGCTGCCTATATTACCCAGAGCCTTCAAGTTCCTACACCCAAGCTCGCCTAAATCACTTATGCCTCTCTTGGCAGTGCAATTCTCAGGCATCTTCACATCGCCAGAGATCGTCCTTGGTTGAGTTCTGGCAGCGTAAGATAGTCTACCGTGATAAGGCCTTCTGATAACAATCCATGGTCTGTACTTCTTTATGGTCACGTAAACTTCATTCTTTGAAAACTCTTGTCCCCAAACCTATTCGATTCCATATATCACATCATAGTGTAGGTGCATATTATACCATGAGATGTATATGTTGCCAGCTGCTGCTGCCTAATACAGGGGCCTCAATAATTAGAATAGGGCGTGTTCCTGTGTGGGGGATTGGAGGAGTCGTGGAAGATAGGCGGTGTGAAGAATTCGAGCAGAAATTTGGAGGGTATGAGACCCTCAGTATATACTTAAGGACTCTTCTTTTCTGAAACACCCTCTTTATAAGGTCCTGAAACAGCAACGCTTGGTTCTGTATCGCCCCAAACTCATCGCATCCACATTGCCCAAACCCGCGAAGACCTCAAAGCATTGGAGTTTCTGGGCTTTAGCTCCAGTGGCCCATGCTGGAGACGTCGGGGGCTTCCCCCTCCTCCTCGAGAATATCGATCGGTCGCGTCGGCTTTCCTGTGTGGGGACTAGAGCTAGAGATGGCTGGAGTTGAGGTTGAGGTTTGGGAATTTCCGGCAAAGCCCGAAGCTCAACATGGCACAAGAGCTTCAAATACTGTACCAAACCGTAGAAGGACAGCAAGACCTGGGTCCAATTAGAATGCTACGATTGATGGCTCCTGCATCAGTGCTCGGATGTTGCCGCAGGTCGGGTGGTCTTCAGCCTCCTCATGCTCTACATGTACAAATATATGTCTAAGTCACATACCAATACACGCAGATGGCGGCATTCTTCATGAGCAAATGTATGTAACTTATATGTACATCTTGTTCGAACACTGTGTTCTATGTGCACACACATGCAGGTATGTGTATTCATGTATGCATGTAAGTATGCATGCACTTATGTATGCTTACACATACACAAACATGTAGGTAAACCTTAAAGGCATAGATGTGCATGCACATGTAGACACACTTCTACATAAGGATGCGTGCACTCGTTGTCGACTCTTGATACACATTTGGGCCCGGAAGTAGACGCTGTGTTCTTACCTGACCTCTTTTTGACCCAAAACCACCAAAAAAACAAAGCTCTAAACCCCCTGGGGCTGCGATCCAGCCACTGGCTGCAGTGCCCAGGCGGCCAGAGCCCATGGAGGAGCCTGGCCTGGGTCATCCTATACTCATAGGGACCCTTCAAGGGGGTAGGGGACGGGGGGGGTAGGGGACCTTAATGCCCGTAATAAGAACCTAATAAGGCCGATTTAAGGAAGTGCCCTAAACCCCAGAAAATTAGAAACCGGATTCAGGACGATTGTGCTCGGATTCCCTGTGCAGTACCCTTGAGGATTGAGGCTATCGGGTTTCCGACTTGTATACGGATGGAGCAAAGGTGCCTCTACGATCCATTGGGGTTGTATTGTCTGGAGGTGTAAGAATGTCATTGGGGTTAGGCTAGTTTAAGACGAATATTTAATCATTCCAGAATTCGTGTTGAGCTCGTTTGAAAGCTTAGTGTATAGAGATTTGGGAACTTGCCCGGTTAAGGCTTTATGGTTGGCCTTCCATTTCCCTCAGGTGCCTTGACCAAAGGGACACTAAGCGCCCGGCCGTGGGGGAAACTCCCGACTGACCACATAGGAGCTTCCAGGGCGTGAGTACTCCTTTGATGGCTTCGGTTCTTAGTAGGGAATGGGGTTCCCTTAAGGGTTACTATAGGTTATACTACAGGGATTTAGGGTTCTTAGTAGGCTGGGCTTGGGTTCGTAGCAGGGAATGGGGGAATGGATTTTGGGGCTATAAGGGTTTAGGGTTTGGGGAACGGGCTATAGGGACTATTATTTGGTATTAAATAGAGGGACTACTGCAGTGATTCATTCCCCCATTCCCTATTACCTTTTAAGCACCAGGCAGGGCGTTGATGGCTTCGGCACTCACGCTCGCACTGTCCAGGCGAGGCATATGGCTCGAGGTCTGCTGAGTGCTCCCTTGATGGTTTAGGGTTTCGAGTGCGCAAAGTAGGGAATTTGGAGGGTTTCGTCGTCACTTTGGAGCTTGGTGTTGAGGCTGGACCGAGCTGAGATTTGAGATCTTGGATGTTGGAAGCGGCTTCGTCGTGACATTCGGGCCAAGCGAGTTTTTGGGGAGTGGTGGTACTGCATAAGGACATGTCAATTCGGGGATCAGTGCAGCCGGTCTAGATAAGCGTTTTGTCGCTGTTTGTTGGCGTGTAACGGAGTGATTGACAAGCTGCTTGCTAGTTAAGGGGTTGACGTTGAAGTTGCCGAGCAAGTGAGATCACCCGCTGTTTGCATATTATCTCCAGAACTAAACGAACAATGCGAAAATCTCTGACGTACGGCTCTAAGGGACTGTACAGCTTCTATTTATACCACATCATCTTATCTTATCTTGTCAGGTTTACTGAAGCAGATGCAGGGTAAAGCCCTCCGTACCATGGGCCTAGAGGTCCAGGGGATGTGGGATCCGAATCCCGGTATCTCGGTATCCGGAACTTGCCTCTTGTTGCTCAGCTTGCGCTAGGTTAATTACCATTTTAAGGGTCCTTCGTTAATAATATCAACTCCTTACCTATCATACAAACACCAACTTACGTAATTAACAGGAAGCAGCAGCCTTCAAAGTTTGTGATTTTGCACCTCGAGGAGCCTGCCAGTGCTGACGACCTAACACTGCTCCCTACAGCCGCTCAAACTCCGAACCCGAAAAACTAAACCCCGAGACCTGAACTCCTCTAAACACTGAACCCTGGGCCAGGCTGGGTCTGACTCTGAATTGACTGCCGCATGAAAGAGACAAAGACACCCGAAAAGGCGGCAAATCCACAATAGGAAAGCAAAGGGGAACGCAAGGTAAACCTCAGGCATACAAACAGTGAACAGGTATCCGATGAAAGTTCCAAAGCCAAGAACTCAACGTGGTTCACGACCAGGCGTCGGTGATGAGGCCTCGCCGCGACGGGCCTTGCTCTGCTTCACGCTCCAGCCTGGGTTGGTTGTAGTCGGCTTTGTCTCGCAACTTCACAATCCGCCTTAGCGACCCAACAATAACAAAGGTTTGGAAATTGTGATAATCAATCAGAGCTGGTTCAGGGATTAGGCTTTGACTGAGTGAAGGGGCAGGCTTGAATTTAGGGGTTCGATTCAAGAGTCAAACGTTTAGCGTTTTGGGTTGGTGCTCGATAGGCTTGTAAGTTTAATTTAGGCTTCAGGTTTTGGAGGTTTAGGCTTTCAGGCTTCGCGCGAAGATGTGTGCTTCGGCTCTGTATTTTTTGATGTCTCTGGTATACGACACTCAGGGACGTCCACCGCAGCAGAACTAACCTGCAAACTAAGTAGAGCTCCGCTCCATACCCTCTTGGGGTTTTAAACGAGGAGCCTTGGTCTTCAGAAGGTTTAGGTGTCGATTTCAAGTCTAGGGGCCGGTCAAGGCTGAAGGCTCTCGGCTAGGAACCTCGTCAAGGTTTCGGGGGGGTTTGAGGGTATTTCAGAATCGAAGAGCACCTCGCGATTCTCGCGAGGCGTTCAGGAAAGCTGTCTGGAAGTCTCTAGTGTCATGGTGTAGGAACCTGACGAGAAACCTTTCTTTGTCTCTGCTCAAACAAGATCTTGGGATCTGCCGTACTAAGAGCCAGGGGATTCTCATAGTCAGGTTCCTACTTTGCAGTTAAGGGTCCAAGAACGGAACAAGCATGTACAGTCCCAAATGCTAGCCTATGTTCATACCATCCTAAATCCCAAAACCTGCTTGTCGGATACTATGGACCCTTTAACTTTACATTCCATAGTCAAAGCCCTTGTTGACCCTCGTCTTCCTTGACAAGCATGTTCCTCGGTCCCTCACGAAATCTCACGAATTGCGTGCGCAAGAATCCAAGGGCAAGCCATGCACCCAAAGAGCCCAAGACTCGGCCCAAGTAGTCTGCACCAAGATATTAATATAGGGGTCTACAAGTTGGCTGAAGCCTGTGGAACTCCGTGGCCAACTTGATAGAGTTGCTACATGTGTCAAGCTGTTCCCAAATAGGCCAATGCGCCGTTGTGCACAGACTAGAACCGCAGCAGCACTCTGGGGTCTTAATACTTAGAATAGGGATTTGGAGGTTTGCACAACAAGTCTAGTAAGGACCACCCCCAAATAGTAGTGGTAATTATTCAGGGTCCTATAATACTAGACTGCATATCAAGGAAGGGTCCTTCATATTGCGAAGTCGGTTTTGCTTGATTGGGTGGTGTTGGATTTTCTGGGCACGTTGTACCTCGAGTTGCACGAATCCCAGATATCGCAGAAAATCATGGTGAAACAGAGCGGCAGTTGAATTAAACTACCACACCACTTGAAACACAGTTGAAGCATTTGGGGTTATGGCTGGGTGCCTAAAGTGTCGCTGCACATTGGGCAGCTTTCAGAGCAAGCACATATCGGCGGAATGCACAGACTTTGGCTTTGCAGCGCCGATCGTTTCAGGAAGTGGGGCCAAAGGCTCGGAGAATCTTCGCACACTGCCGCTTCCCAACCTGCCGGAGGTTCTCGGCGACCGCAGGCGACCGACGGTCTTGATCAGAACACCTTGGACGATGATCTGCTCGTGCTGCTGCTGAACCTGGGCTTTCAAGTATCCAGAAGAGAGTATAATCTTCTATTTCATCATGGTTCCCTTAAGGCAAAATATTGAAGTATGGTATTCCAAAGCTCAGGAACATAGAACTTCCACTTCGACTTCGTCACACCTCCGCTGCGAAGCTTCATTTGTAGCTCCATCCGGAAGTGAGCGGAAGCCTTCTCGAGATCTTCTGCTTGCTCTCCCTTTGCTATGCACTTCTCAAGTCGCTTCTGGAAGTCCTTGGCTTCTGCTTGGGGGCTCGGCGACTATGTCTGCGCGTTTTGTTCCACCTTGAGGATACAGTATATTAAGTGGAATATGCCGATCTTGGCTTTTCACGAAGAAACGCGCTAAAAATGTGATCAAGACCATCAACCACCAAAAAGCATTCTGAAACACAATTGAAACAGGCGGTGAAGATCCTCCACAAACTTAAGTTGGCAGCTCTGACGGAACCCTGAAGGGAACATATTTTCCAAGAAGGACGAAGAGTCGATGTTGAAGCTCTGCTCACTAGGACCGGCCAGGAAATCAGAGAACTTCGCGTCCTCCGAGATGTCCAGGCCGGTGGCATCCTAAGCTTCTCCTACGAAGGCTTTAGTCGATTTCGGCGCTCACACTTCTTAAGTCGGTTTAAGGTTTAGGGGTTTAGGGTTTCATCAGGGATCTGTCGGGGTTCGACAGTTTTACAAAATCAAGAAGGAGAGGTGTTTCTTTGAGTCTTCGGGTTTGAGTGCGTTGCCTCTCAGGCTTCTCTAAGGGACTTCATGCATTCAGTAATGGGAGTTTCCGAAAAATGGGAGACCTAACATAGTACCCTAAATAGTAGGATCCTTTTTGTAAGGAAACCAAAATAAGGTGACCCCCCAAAATTGTGGAAACTCCCATGTTTTATCGCATCTTGGGTGTCCAGCCAGCTGCATCCTGTGTTCTTGTAGATCTTGGCAGGGTGTGATAAGCATCTTTTAGGGCTTTTATAGCATGTTACAGAAGCTCTTATCGGTTCGTTACAGCCTTGTTTAGGATTTTGTACGAGTTTTTTTAGGGTGATTTTGTTGTCGGGAGAAACACGGGGCTATACGTATTACTAGCTCGTGAGTCAGACGAATGATCCTTGTGATGGCAACGTATAATAACAAGATCCCAGCATCCAGGAAGTTTGGGGACGCGCCCATAATGTCCAGCTCTGAAGCATCGAAGATGAGAAAAGCCTGGGTCTTGCTTTCATGCACAACACGAGCCAGGTCTAATGTCCCATCCAAGGCCTAAATGTAAACGACGATTCAAGTCAGTTCTCAGTTGAAAGAAACCAGGAAAAGCCCCCAGAGCCCAGTCCTTGGACACCCTAAACCTCCCCAGGCCCCAAAACCCAGTAAACCTTGAATTGGTACCCAGGATCATCCTCCGGGCTGTCGGGGCAGCCGCTGGACTGTGAGGTCGTCTCGCTGACACTCTTCCTGGGCTTGAGAGGTGTCTTTTCCCCCCTTACCTAGCAAGGACGAAGCCCGCATTGCAGGGAGTCTCGGTTGAACGGTTGGCAGCTTGAGAGGTGTGCAATGGGTGGGTTAGGGGTTAGAGGGTTTCTTGGTAAACTCCTCATTGGAGGGGGGATTGAGACCTCAAGGTCTATAGGTTTTCCGGTTTAGGGCTTGTTGCTTCCGTTGCAGGGATTCGGCTTTCGGCCTCCATGATGATTTCCAGCAATAGAGAAACTTTCTCAAAAGAAACAGTGTCCTCAAACCGCCAAGCTTCAGGACTGCTGGCGATAGGGAGTGGGAGTCCGCGTCTATGGCGAGGTTCAGGTGGGGATCACCTGACTCAGCTACTCATACGGTACCCAATAAAAGCTCCGCCAAACCACATTAACCCGTTAATGACGCCTTATGAACCCTTCAAAACCACGAAATAAAACCCTGTGGACACCTGACCAGTTCGCAGAACACTATGATTCCACACCCTACACAATACTCGTACAAAACTCCTACAACAACTCTTGTATAAACAAAAAGCCTACTAAACAACAACCCTAAACCTTAAAGCCCCCTTCAGCCAGTCACGGTCCTCTCGTAAGCCGACGAGATGTCGTATCTGGCCGTGGGCATCCACGGTCTTCACGTGAAAACACTCCTCGGTGCAAAATCTAGGAACCTGATTAAGAAACCTTGGGCCCATAAGCCCAAAATACTACGATTCAAAGAAGGAACCCTAATAAAGGCCCAAGGTTTCTGAAGCAGGTTCCTACATTAGAAAGGTTTTAGCGGTGGGTCTTAACGACCTCGTTTAAGAACCCTCGTACGTCCATATAAGACCCTACAAGCCACAAAAAAAACAATCCTGCCTTCCATAATTCAGGGCCCACTCCGAGGGAATCGTGTTCTCCTATAGCGCCGGATTATGAAACCCTGTCAGCGTCTCTACAAAAACTCCGCACACTCCCAAATTCATGGCGCAGGCTCCACAGGAATCGTGTTGCCATATCCTGGGCTTTTAAGTAACCGGGGAGAAAAAAGGTATAACTTGATGTTTCATAATGGTTCCTTTAAGATTAAGTATTAATGTTTGATACTCCAAAGCCCAGTATCCGTCCCGGAGTGCCAGATGCATGGCCTGCGCGAGAAACAGCCGCTCTGTGTCCGGTCGGTTCCTGGGCTCTTGAGGTTTAGGGATTTTAGATTAAGGCTTTAGCGTTTAGGGGGAAATAAAGTTCAAGGGTTCAGGGTTTAAACATTGAATGAACTCAGGGTTTTGGGGTTAAGGCTTTGGGAAGTTTCGGACTTGAAGCATGACGTTATCCTAGCCTATAGATGCCCAGATACCCGGGTGCTGTAGGGTAGAGAAGGGCGTGGCCAGGCTAAGGCAGGATTCCGGGATTATTTATTTTCCAAAATATTTCCAGTTTTACATTCAATTTTATTTCCAGCCTTGGGTCTATTTCCAAATAACTTTCCAATAATGATTCAATTTTGTTTCTGGCTTCACGTCAAATTCATTTTCAATTTTGTTTCCAATTTCTGCGGTTGGGGCACTGATTTGGTAGACAAGGCCAAGGGGAAGAATGCGGCCGGGGTTGGAACATCGGAATTTTGGAGAGGCCTCGAGAAATATTCAAATGTTTTTCAATTTCGCTTTCAATTCTGGTTCCGATTTCTGCGGTTCGGAAGAACGGGGCCGGGGTTTGAACATCGAGAAATTAGGGAGGCCTCGAGAAATATTCAATATTTTTCAATTGCGGTTTCAATTTTGTTTGCAATTTCTGCGATTCGGGCACTGAGTTGGTAGACAAGGCCAAGGCCAACGGGAAGAACGGGGCCGGGGTTGGAAAATCTGAAATTTGGAGAGGCCTCGAGAAATTGAGGGGAACGCAGAAGGGGGCAACGGTCTGT